TAATATAATATAATATAATATAATATAATATAATATAATATAATATAATATAATATAATAAATATAATATAATGTAATATAATATAATATAATATAGTATAATATAATATAATATAATATGATATAATATAATATAATATAATATAATATAATATAATATAATATAATATAATATAATATAATATAATATAATAAAATATAATAAAATATAATATAACATAATATAATATAGTATAATATAATATAATATTTAAAATTAAATATAATATAATATAATATAATATAATATAATATAATATAATATAATATAATATAATATAATATAACATAAAATAATATAATATAATATAATATAATATGATATAATATAACATAAAATAATATAATATAATATAATATAATATAATATAATATAATATAATATAACATAATATAATATAATATAATATAATATAATATAATATAATATAATATAATATTTAAAATTAAATATAATATAATATAATATAATATAATATAATATAATATAATATAATAGAATATAATAGAATATAATAGAATACAATACAATACAATACAATACAATACAATACAATACAATACAATACAATACAATAGAATATATATAAAAAACATATAAATGTTTAAGCTGTATAGAAGTGTCTTGAAGAATGTCTAGTAAAATATAAAATAAATCAGTTATCAGAGATGAGTTATTAAAACTATTATGTTTAGAAATGTGTTGAAGAAACCTGCTCTCCGTTAAACAGAAATTGGGGAAAAAAATTAAACAGGGGGGCTAATAATTCTGACTTTACCTGTATATATATATTCATATAAAAATAGACATGCATTTTTAAAAAAAGGTGTGGGATAATAGGAATCATTTTTTTATTATTTTTGTCTGTTTTTCTTTTAATCAAACAATTATTTCTATGGGTCATGTAAGGGTCATATATTAACTGAACTTCTAATGTTGTGGGTGAGTGCTGTGCATACTAATTAGCATGTTTGCAGAAGTAGATAGATGCGGGTCCAAAATTTAATTCAGCTCTGCAGAAACTTCCTGTCTGAAGAGAGGTGTTAAAACTGAACACAGAACACAGAAAGATGTATGCTTTTTTGTTGTGCAGAGAATTCGTAGAAAAAGAGGAAGTATGTCGAAGGTGCGACCAATGGAGGACTGAACAATGACTGACAAGTGACGTTACACCAAAACTCCACCTGTTAAGATCAGTTGTGTATATATGCTGGAGTCAGGAAATGTATGTTAGTTGCGAACCTCTTGAATGTAATTCTTGTATTGCATTGGGGTAATGTAACCCAGAGCTCTGTCATCGAAATATTCATTTGTATCTAATAATTTACTTATATTTTTGGCATTGAAGAAAAAACTCTCCAGACCTTTTCTTATTGAACACGCATGAAATTGGCTAGATATTCCAACAAAAGGAAGGAAATAGCAAGAGAGAAGTGAACTATGGGTTACGTTGACAAGCTCCTTTCTATGTGTGGTGTATTTATAAACTAATTTCGAGAGGATCACGTACTTATGATCAACACGGCTGGCACCTCATTAGCTCCGTAATCTGCCTTATTAGATGATTATGGAAGCATTATAAATAACCTGAGTTTTTCACTCCAGTTATCTTCGTCTTGAAGCTTCCACCCCTACTTCCCACCCTTTTTTCTGATAGGGCGACACGGCAGCGCAGTGGCTAGCACTGTTGCCTCACAGCAAGAAAACCGCAGGTCCAACCTCCTATTGGGACAGTTGGCATTTCTGTGCGGAGTTTTCATAATCTCCCAGTGCTTGCGTGGGTTTCCGCCAGGTTCCCCGGGTTCCTCCCACTGTCCAAAAACATAAACCATAGCTAATCGACTCAACTAAATTATCACTCAACCTTAGTCTACACTTCTCACACGGCGACAAGCAGGGGAGTTCTCGAGACCTGCCTGAGCTCGAACTCCCCTCTCGCCTTTCTAACAGGAGGGAGCCCCGGGCTCGAGGATATTACGAGCTCAGGGCTCTCTCCCGAGACAGCATGCCAAATACGCTAAGTGTGAACTCTTGAAACAGATGTTTGTCCGTTCAGCTGCAATGTTGCAAACCTCCACCAACTAATATATCTAACTGCAACAATCAGTGAGATTCATTTACCCTTGTACACAATTTTTACAAAGCTCTATCAGCTATGGGGAAGTAGCCTATTCTGTCCTTTATTTCTCAGTTTACACCACAACGCTTGATCTGTTAATCACTCACTCACTTGCATTTACATTATTCAAGAATAAAAAGGTCAGTAAAAGCAAAAACACAAAGCAAAAGCATAATATAATTAATACAAGAATAAAACAACACCTTCCATGCGTGCAAGTATTAATATGGGATTTGAGTATCTTTGCCTTATATACAGTGCTCAGCATATATACACGTACACCCCTCCTAAATATCTCTGTTTAATTGAAATGTTTAATAGGAAGCTCTATAATATTATATTAGTGCATATACATTAGATTAGTCAGTGCTGAAGCCAAATCTGGAGCTGATCTAACTAAATAACTTACGACAACACTCCAAAAACTAGCACAGACACATTTATATGTTAGAGAAAATTATTAAATACATTTTTAAAAAATAGGAAAAATCAGCAGAAGCAAAAAAAGAAAAATTAAAAATTTAGTTGAAACTTTGTAGGTTGTAAATTATTTTGCAATATTTTTCATTTAATATATGTATTTATGTTTGACTAATATATTATTGTAATACATGTATCAGTTTAGTAAACCTGTTTGGTTTAAATGCACCAAAATGCATTGAATATTCACTAAGAAATTAAGGAAAATACTCAAGCTG